CACTGTGAACTATTTCATTCCTTGTGTAAGGCCTTGTCTACACTGCCACTTACAGTGCTGAAACTTTCTTCACTCAAGGGTGTGAAAAAACACCACCCTGAGCAATGCAAGTTTCAGCGCTGTAAAGTGGCAGTGTAGATAGTGCTCCCAGCGCTGGTAGCTATTCCCCTCTCGGAGGTGGTTTTATTATAGCAGGTCTCCCAGCGCTGGAGCCACGACTACACAGCCACATTAAAGTGCTGCCGTGCTGTGTAGAAAGGAAATCACATCTGCATAGTTTACTGTGAGTCTCGTTTTGGGTACATCTACACAGCAGCTGGAAGGTGTAATTCCCAGCTTGGCTCAACATACCCATGCTAGCTCTGCTCAAGCTAGCGCACTAAAAATAGCAGTGTGGCTGCAGCAGCATGGGGAATGGCTCAGGCTAGCTGCCTGAAATACATAGTCAGGGAGTCAGATGGGATTTACGCAAGTGGCTAGCCTGTGCCACCATGGCCACAGTGCTATTTTTAGCACTCTAGCTCTGCTCCCAGCTGTTACTCTTCGGTGCCACAATTGAGCGATACTTGGGAAATACCACCACTTCCCCCTTAATAAAGAAGGAGCCAAGCCCAAAGAGTGCAAGGGCATATTCAGGCCCCACTGAGGGGGCACCAGGCAGCACACAAGATCACATTTTGAACATCTGCACATTCTACACAATCTAGTGATTCACATAGACAGCTTATTTTGTGGGCAGAGCATGGGAGAATACCACTTCTCCCCCACCATCTGACCCCGCATATACACGTGCACAACCAGAATGGTGTCTCACTATGAGTTTATGATCCTACATCCCTCTGCAGAAGAGAATCTCTTTGGTCATGTAGCATTTGGAGGAAAGGATCCATGCCACAACCCCATCCCCCAAAGAGAGAAACACGCAGACATCCACATCCCTTCTATCACAACAGGAGGAGGAGGAATGACATGCAATATTCCAAATTCATTGGTCCAGGCTCAGTTTCAATAGACTATAGCAGGGGTCGGCAACCTTTCAGAAGTGGTGTGCCGAGTCTTCATTTATTCACTCTAATTTAAAGTTTCATGTGCCGGTAATACATTTTAAAGTTTTTAGAAGGTCTCTTTCTACAAGTCTATAATATATAACTAAACTATTGTTGTATGTAAAGTAAATAAGGTTTTTAAAATGTTTAAGAAGCTTCATTTAAAAATTAAATTAAAATGCAGAGCCCCCTGGACCGGTGGCCAGGACCCGGGCAGCGTGAGTGCCACTGAAAATCAGCTCGCATGCCGCCTTCGGCACGCGTGCCATAGGTTGCCTACCCCTGGAATATAGTTTAGAGAGACTATTATAGATACACTAATTCCTTAGACCATTTCCCCTCGTGCCACTCATTTCTCCTGTGCGTAACCCACGTTTATAGTGTAGCTCTTTGTCCCCTTCTAGTGGTTGGCCCACGTAGCTGTTTGAGTGTGCTACATCCTTGATCTAAAAGACTAAAAGATTTTTGCTCAGGCAGCAGAGTCACATGCTTTTAGATCTAGAGGCATGGGATCAATCCCTGCTGCTGACAACCAAGTCAGGGTATTACACGATTTATGAAATCACTTAATATTTACCCCAATGAAGCACAAGTAACAAATATAATATACCTCTCCCATCAGAGAAGTATCTATTAGCAAAACTGATCACCTTGCTCTGCAAAGGAAATTGCTAGGCTCCACTAGGCCACTTTAGATCTTACCAACTTTAGTATCCTAATTAATTCCTGGGTGAGAATTAAACTTTATGGCATAGTCAGACAATTCTTTTAAATTAGTCAGGAGTAAAATAAAGAAACTACTGCTAGTTGGTCCTTCAGATAAGCAATCTAGCATTCTCACACTGTGGCCTGGGAATTAAAATTTCCCTCTTTCCTCCCTGTTGACATATAAGCTCACCTACCATGAACTCTGTTCTCAAATAAGCACTCTTGTTTGTATGCTTTAGGTCTCATGCCTTTTATCCTCTCCATGCATCCTTTTCAAGCTATGAAACCAATGGCAGGAGCTCCATAGCTATCATTTCTAATTAACTCATCAGTCTCCAATGGAAATCTTTCTGAACCCACAATTTCAGTTAACTATGAATTAAAGTATTGGGGGTGGGGGCCGCAGGGAAACAAAGAGTCCTCTTATTGGTACACACAGTCACAGTTACTCCCAAATTCATGAAGGGAGCCAAACACAATTTTTAAAACTCCGGATATACTCCCACCAGCCTCCAACACCTATGTCTAGGGCCCTACCAAATTCACAGCCATGAAAAATGCGTCACGGACCGTGAAATCTGGTCTCCCACCATGAAATCTGGTCTTTTGTGTGCTGTAACCCTATACTATAGAGATTTCAAGGGAGAGACCAGCGTTTCTGAAATTGGGGGTCCTGACCCAAAAAGGGATGGGGGGGTCCACAAGGTTATTTTAGAGGGGTTGTGGTATTGCCACCCTTACTTCTGCACTGCTGCCTTCAGAGCGGCGGCTGTTGGCTGGGCACCCAGCTCTGAAAGCAGCGCCCCGCCAGCAACAGCACAGAAGTAAGGTTGGCAATACCATACAATGCCACTCTTACTTCTGTGCTGCTGCCTTCAGAGCTGGGTGGCTGGAGAGTGGCAGCTGCTGACTGAGGGCCCATCTCTGCCGGTAGCACCGCAGAAGTAAGGGTGGCAATACCATACCATGCCACTCTTACTTCTGCACTGCTCCTGGCAGCAGCGCTGCCTTCAGAGCTGGGCTCCCGGCCAGCAGCCGCCGCTCTCCAGCTGCCCAGCTCTGAAGGCAGTGCCACCACCAGCAACAGCGCAGAAGTAAGGGTAGCAGTACCATAAACCCCCCTACAATAACCTTGTGACCCCCCACCTCCCACAACTCCTTTTTGGGTCAGGACCCCTACAATTACAACAGCATGAAATTTCAGATTTAAAAATAGCTGAAATCACAAAATTTACAATTTTTAAAATCCTTTGACCGTGAAATTGACCAAAATAGACAGTGAATTTGGTAGGGCCCTACCTATGTCCACTATATGCGACAAGAAAGTAGTTCCATTTTCTATTCAGAATTGGCAAGATGTGATACAAACTGCAAGCGTAAAATTAACGAGTGATTCACTCTAGTGACTTGACAGTTGTAGGAGGTGCCCTGCCATGCTGCTTTAAAAAAAAAAAAAGAAAAAGAAAAGAAAGAGTTCTATTTTATTGTCTGATGAAGTGACTAAAAGGGAACTGTTTCAGGGATTAGGATTCCAGAGTGATCTAATACAGGATGCCTTTGGCTTAAAAAGAGAAAAAGAAGCAGCTAGGACTCCTCCTAAACTCCCCCCCACCCCCAGTTTAAAAAAGGGATGAATGTTACCATTTTTGGACATAAGTTCTGCACAAGCCCAACCCTAAACCACACCATTCAAATGAGAAGTGAGCTATCATCCCGCTTGTGATCACATGGAATTGGGGACCATTCAAAAAGGAAGAATAAGGTGGTGGGAATGCAAGAGGTAATTTACTAACAACAGATTGCTGGTCAGTCAGTCAATCTGATCTCCTAAATAGTTGTAGTGCTCCTGTTTCCTTGTGTAGGTGGGAGGCAGGTCTAGCGTACAGGGGTCATCTCCAGCTGAAGGAGCGTGCACCCTGGGGAACAAGCTAAATTTTACATTCACATTCTGATTTCCTCCTTAATCAGCGTCTGCTGCCCCCAAAGAGAGCGTTCCTTTGTGTGCCATTGTTCTCTGGGGGCAACGCAGACGCGTGGAGAGCTTTGCAATGGGAGTGACACTTCGTAGCAGACACACATGTACCTGCATGGCCCTCCCTTCTCCCAGGGCACCAGCAGCCGCCCAAATCATCTCCAACAGCGTCCTGAGGAGCAGTTCGGCGGCCCCTAATAGCACGCACAGCAGGACAAGCCAAATGCAGTCCCATCACTATTTAAGAAAACCAGAAAGTAAGGAGTGTTGCCTGGTAAATTGCATTGCGAAATGTGAGGGGACTGAGCTAGGGCTCCCGTCTGCATGGCTCCTGGCGCTGACAGGGAAAACATCTGTTGCTTTAGGGGGGAAAAGGAACTTCTGCGCTGCTACATTGGGCAATAAAACGGCTCCATTTCTTTGCCTATCCACCGCCCCTCACAGGTCGCACTACTTCAGCGCCCACCCTCCTCCCACACACACAGGTAGGAAAGACAACAGCCTAATGTGTGTCTGTTACACGTTGTTTCTTTAAATCACACAAGCCCTCCAGACGCGTTTAGAACACAATCTCCAAACGCTGTTTCCACGGGGATCTGTGAGCCACCAGATAACACCTTGGTTTAAACTCGGTTAAAATCACTGTTGTAGATCGAATTAAAAGACAGGCGTGGGGCGTGCTATTTGCTACACGATTCGAGCTCTGCATCTCAACAGGTCCTGTGCAAAGCTGGGCAGGCGAGTACAGCTCCAGGGTCCATTGCAACCTCTGACCATATGGGAAAAATCAGAGGGAGGAGGAAATAGGCGGCTTTGCATATACAAATCCATAATTAGGTTGATGTTGCAGCTCGTCCCACCCCCAACCCCCTTCTTCAGACGAGGCTCCATTATTTAATTAAATAAAACGAGAGGGTGATGCAGGGATCCGGCTCTCAACAGGAAACCTGACCAGCTATCAATCAAACCAGCTCTCTGCCCTGGACCCTCAGCAAACGTGGAAAATACCCCCAGCGTTAAACAGGGAGGGGACTGAACATGCGAAGGTAGCCACACAGACCCCCAATACACAACTAGTCTCCAGCAAATCCAAGGAAACCTTTCCCCCACCCCCATCCTGCTAAATGCCTGTAACACAACACTCCTCTCTAATGGAGCTACTGCAGCCTCTACTAATGTCACCCCACCCCCTGCTCCAGGATCTTTACTAGGATGCTTGGTGGGGTGGGAGAGAAAGGGGTGAGGTGAGGGTGAAAGTGGGGGGGGGGATTTACCTTTCTCTGCTGTTTTTCCCAGGCTGGATCCAAAAGCATGTCCCTGTCCCAGTCCTCCTCCGGCTGCATGTAGTCATTGGTTTGCGGAGAGTCATAATGATCCATGGTTGTGCGTGTGTCCTTTGGTCTGCTTTTGGTTTTCCTCCCCTGCTGCTACCACAGCTCGCGCGCCCAGGCGGTCTCGAGAGCTCCGTGCTGAAGCACAGCTACAGCGGAGCACAGGCAGAGAGAGAGAGAGGAGGTGGCGGCGCGCGGCAGCTCCACTTACACCAGAGCGCAACCTAGTCTTTGCACACACAGAAGGGAAGGGGGCGGTGGGGGGAAGAGCCCTGCCTCCTAGATAATTTCATTGGCTAGGCGGAGTTGCCAAAAGTTCATTTTCCAAGGCTACCATCGCTCTCATTGAGGCCCCCTTGTGTCAGTCAGGGCTTTCAGCAGTTGATATAGGTTGATTTAAGGCTGCCCTCCCACCTCCTTCCCTTTACTCATGTGACATCTGAGTTTAATCTGCTCAGTTTGGTGACGTCTCCCCTTACCTTGGGGGTTTATAGTAACATCAGAAGCTACTGAACAGACAGAATATACATTCTTAAACCCAGTGAGATACCTGCTGTGCAATGCAAAAAATGCAACAACAAAGTATGTCTGCTTATTGTGTTTGACCGAGGGACAAGGTGGGTAAGATAATATCTTTTATTGAACCAACTTTTGTTATATTACCTCACCCGCCTTATCTCTATAATATCCTGGGACCAACACTTCATACTATTATATTTGATGTATTATCCCCTCATTCCTGTTTTACTAAACAAGCTTCTACATTATTCAGGTCGGTGTTAAAGAAACATTGTCAGATTAACCATGTACAATATTCAAACAAATAGTCCTTACCTGGATTACTAGAAAAACACCTTATTAAAAACTGAAAAAATGTTAAACATCTCATTGACTTGTCAGTAGGAATGCACTTTATTTAAGCCAGAATCCTGCAAATCCTTATATACATATACTTAACATGTCTGTAGTCTCGTTGAGTTTAATGGGACAAATGGAAAGTTAAGCATGTGTATGAATTTGCAGAATAGGAGCCTTACTCTGTGCATATCTGTCAAATTGGACAGTCAGTTACAATGTTTCCAGTTATTTCATTTCCTGATTCCACTAGCACTGTGCTACAATGTTTGGGTTGCAAACTTTATAGGGAAAAGTTTATTGGTTAAAAATCAAATTATATTGAAAGTTTGAAGAGGAGAGTAAAACACATATTAAGCCAGAGGGAGACAAAGAAACATTTGACATAAAAAGTTAAAGCTACAATAATTTTTTGGCTCGGATGCTCCAAATCCTTATGCACATGCTTAACTTTATGCATGCCAATCACCTCATTGAGTTCAGTGGGACTAGTCGCATACTAAGTTAAGCCCATGTGTGTTCCAGAACTGGGGCCTTAAACTATAGAGTGTGGTACACATTTTCTTCAGCGTTTGCAAAAACATTCCCTGAGTAATTCTGAGTAAATTCCTTCAGAGTAAGTCTGGCAACTTTCCAAACCAAAATTAAAGCACTCATGGACATGCTTAAAGGTTAGTGCATACGTAAGTGTTTTGCTGAACGGGAGCTATGGCTCTGATCCTATAATAGGGTCTGCCTAGATAAACCCCTGCATCTTCACAGAACCCCGGGAAGTCAATAGAGCTCTATATGGGCACAAGGATCAACCAAAAGGTGGAATAGGGTGAGATCATTGCCCCCTTGGCTGGCTGGAGCCCAGAAAGAACATAATGGTATTTCTATATATGATCGTTAACAGAGATTTTCATTTAACCACAAGTGTTTGAAGGCCTATGTTTTTGGAGCTGGAGGACCAGGATTCCATCTTGGCTCTACAGTTATATGTTGTTTTATTATGGAGCGGCAATAGCTCCTCCATAGCTAATGTTGCAACCACACTCCCATTATATTATTGTAAATAAAATAAACCAAAGTTCTCAAGCTTTCAAATTTGTAGGGTTAAATTTCATTAACAACTGGAGCATTTTCTGATAATTTTGCTTAAAGTAATTAATGAAAAGCCTGAAATTTGTTTTTTTTTTAAACATTTTTTTACAAAGTGTTCAATGTTTCTTGGTGTCCTTCTCTCTAACAAAATCACACTACACTCAAAATCCAACAAAATCACACTACACTAGAATTCTTTACACCTGAATAGATTTGGAACTTGGATCATCCAGCAAGAGGCAGTTTTTCAAAGACAGGCATAGTAAAATATTTAAGAAGCTGCTGCTGTTTGAGAACTTGACATGATTCTCTGTCAATGAAGCTGATGAAGAAAAAACATGGCAACAGCAAATATTTTCCGCAAGAGTCTCCAAGCCAGCCATGGCTACTTTGCAAAACTGAAAGGAAATTCCCAGTTCTTGTTAAAATAGCTCCCCCGCAGGCATTACACACCAAAATACAATCCCTTGGCCTATGGAGAGTGTACACAAGTCCAGTTTTCAGATTGCTTAAGGAATAGAGAGTATGTGACATATGAACAGTTATATAGAACTCATATGATAGAGCTCAGAGCAGACAGCTAATTAGAAATGGAGGAGAGCCAGCTCTGATCTACTAGAGACCATGGTGATTCTCAAACAAATTCATTCAGATCTCTGTATAAAGGCCAACTGTAAAATGGGTGATAATAATACTCACCTATTTTTGTAAAGTGCTTTGAAATCTAAAATGAAAAAGCACTAGGTAATTGTAAAGTATGTTATGAGCCATATTTTTCAAATGAGATAAGTATGGCACAGGGTATTGAAATTATCTGCCAGATATGAGGTGTTGCCATTTCTGGATGGAACGCAGCAATTCTTTAAAAGCAACATTATAAATCCACCTAGGAAAGGGAGTGAAAATGAATATTATATCTAACAGAAGCTGCAGGCAGAATTTTTAGGGAGACAGAATGTGATTACCTAAATTGGAATCTGTCCAGGATTCTGGCACTAACACTGCTACTCATGAATTAAAAACACTGTGGGATCTTTAGTGCCTACAAGCGGGCAGGACATCAATGTGACATCTCTTCTGAAGTGATCTGGATCACTGTTTCAGTACTGACTCAGAGAGAAGAGTGCCACCTATTGAATCACCAGCACTGCTAAAGCAGAGGAAGCAGGGTCTAATGCTCAGAGCATATGGTCATGTATACACTATGGGGACTCTAGAAACAGCTGTGGCCCTGTAGCTACGATGGCATAATCCCACAGTGTAGATGCAGTTTACAGTGACAAAAGGGGTTGTTTCTGTTGCTGTAGGAACACCACCTCCTGAGCAATGGTATCTAGGTCAACGGACGCATTCTTCCATTAACTACACTGGGGATTAAGTCAGAATAGCCACAGCACTCAGTGGTGTGGATTTTTCACACCCCATAACGCTATAGCTGTCAACCTTAATTTTAAGTGTAGACCAGGCCTATGACTAGGGGTTTGGGATTTTTTTTCCCTGGCCCAACCACTGACTCAGTGTGTGATTGTGGGTGAGTCGCTTAACCTCTCCATGCTTTTTGTTTTCTCCGCTGTCAAATGGGGATAATACTTCTTATTGGTCTCCCACAGATACTGTGAGGCTTAACTTATTGTTTGTCAAACAATTTGAGATCCTCAACAATGAAAAGTTACTACGGAAGTGCAAAGTATTATCCTTAAGTCTTATTATTAAAAATACTTTACATTTGTTCAAGAGTAGTCCGGCTGGTCAGCTGGCATGATACATGCACTACATGCAATGCTATGGGAGCTTTGAGGTATAGAAGAGAGTAAGATGGCTTGGGGTTTGCACAGCCACTTGGTGGTGGGCTTAAATTGGAAGCTGTTGAATAAAGAAAGCTAATTAACCACACACTTGTGTCCACATACCAAATTTTGGGTTTTAAATTTTAAGCTTCAAGTGATAAATATTGATTCAAGTCAACTGACATATTGAAGTCAATGGTACTACTCACTGCCTTAAAGTTAGCCACATACTTAAGAGTTTTGCTGTATTGGAGCCAGAGTGCTCAGAACCTTGCAGGATTGAACCCTTAATCCCATGGTCATGATCATCTTCCAAATTAGGTAATGACTCTTTGCCTTTTTAAAATTCTCTCTGAAGTTTGAATTGGCTATAGTCCTCTTCACCGCTTGTCTTAAACTGCTGTGCAGAGTATATTAGATATAAGGTCTTTGGGCCTCGTCTTTTTATCAGCACTGCAAGGCACCTTGCACATTTTTGGACATTATAAACCCATAAATAATAATTATAGAGTTGTTCTGTACTATTTAACAGTTGTCATGTTCCACCCCCAGAATCAGCTGCATTTCAGTGGAGGATAAAATCACCTTTGTATTTGTGGTGCATAAAATCCAAGATTTTCAGACGTGACTCGTGATTTGTGGTGCCTCGGTTTTTGGGTGCCCAACTAGAGGCACATTAAAGGGGCCTGATGTTTAGAGGCTGTGTACTTAGCACTTTCCAAATCAAGCCCCCCTCAAGGTGCCTCAAGCTGGACAACCCAGAACCAAGGCACCCAAAATTATTAGGCATTTTTAAAAATCTTGACCAAAGTGCTTCAGAAATGAAAGGTGTTATAAAGTGTCAGGTGATATTGTAGAGAGATTGATGAGCTCAGTAGGAAGGAAGATGATGGTGATGACTGTTCTTTGAGGCTCTACAGTGCAAAATGGGAGGTTAAATTGGGAAAAATGGGGGAATCATAAGAACTTCAACAGAGAAGGCCCCAAAAATAAATTCAATTTATAAATAGATTTACATTTATTTTCCATAAACATTTGATGAACGTTTGGTAACATACAGTTCTGCTCTCTCAGCTGTAGGTCATTTTGGATCACTTATCTTTGAGACTCTGTATGTCTTTGGGATATCACAGGATGGATTAAAGACAATAAAAATGCCATGCAATATTCACCTTTTAATTGTTCCTCTCATCAGCTCAGGATTTCCAACCTTAGGATGTTTGACTCACCGAGACCTGGGGAAACAAAACAAAACAGGTTCTAAAAAATTCCTTGAGACGAGATGAATACAGTGTTTTCAGACAAACAGCCTTGCTTTGAATTTGAATATCCTCTTTTTATTTCCTTCCCACATTTAATGGCCCAGTACCTCCCAGATGGTGTAGTTGTACCACATACCTCCCAGATGTTGCCGAGAGCCCTCATCTCCTGCTGAAATTAATGAGTTGAGAGCACTCCACATCTTCCAAGAGGTGCTCACCACCTCATAGGTTTGATCCCC